CCCAGGAAGAGCGAAAGCGTCGTTTGGCCGCTTCTGCTGATAAAATGCGATAGAAGTCTGCATCGGACAGCTAAGAAAAAAGGCATCAGATCGAAAGGTCTTGCGCATTTCCATTAAAAAAATCCTATCGATAATCGAACAATTTTTTGCTTCTGCGTGGCTCGTCCCTTGTTTTTGGTTAAAGTATCCGGTATTACCGCAAAGCCTTCTTTCCTTGTCCAAAGTGAGGAGCTTGAGGTTACGGTCCAAGTAGTGGTGGATGATGGTGTTGGTCTTAATGTTTGTCGTTCTTTGATCCTACAAGCGCTGGAGGACATCAACGCCCTCGGCCACACGCCTACGTCGGTCTTCGGGTTCGGATCTATCTCATTCATCTTATCAATGCCTTCTTGAAACGAGGCGCATATTGGCTGAAGTTCGGCCCGTTTTTCAAGCAGTCCTTAATTTGTTCCTTACAGGGTAGCGTCTTCTAGAAAAAAAACCCTGTGCCACCACCTCACGCACCTTCAAGTTTTTTTCTTTTTTTTTAATCGTAGTTTTTTTGTGGTTAGGACTCCGTGTACGCGGGTGCTGTCCGGAGGGAAATTTGAAGGTCTTTTCAGCTCAGCTCTCTCTTGATCTCCTGTTGTGGCACTTAATTCTCATGACGTGTACGGACTTTCCCACATGCTGCACTGACTCGGAACTCACAATACTGCATATTCGTTTCGCGTGGGTTCCGTTCAGTTGAAGAGTGCGACGACTTCACGCTGGTAGTTTCAGTGGCGGATGGGAAGGCTCTACTGCCTTGCGTGGCAGCACTAAAATGCGATTAGGGTATTAGACCCCTTTCGAAAATCACGTGCGGATTATTAGAAGGTCGGAGCCACTGCACAATGGCGGAACAGTTGATATTGTAAAACGTGCTGGTCACTCCATAAAATCGCGAACGTCGGAGCGCGGCCGACGCTAGGAGCCGAAAAGCCAAACAAACTGCGTCAAAAGCGCAAAGTCACTGCGCTCTTCACTTTGCTATTGATTTTTTTTTAATCAAACTGAACGCAGAAAATGTGCCGTGACTTCCTGGCTCTAGTCCGCGATTTTGCAGGGACTCCACAGCTACAAAGAGAGGGCAGTCTTTCGAAAAGGGCCGATAGGGACTACATGGTATAATGAGTTGCGGTAGAACATAGAAATGGGCAGTGTGTAAAAGAAATAAACTGCGTTAAACTGACGATTTCGGCAAGTTGATTCATTATCACTTTCAAAGAACCAAAATCACGTAAGGGCAATAAGAATGGGGCCACTATATAGCACTTAGTATAACCATGGGCGTGCCTTGTGTTTAAGTCAGAGAAGTGATGAGCGTGCCTAGGCTGTGCGGCAAAGGCCTAGGGTTTAATCATGAAGAGCCAGTAAACGGGAAAAGACAAATCCTGGATAGCAGGTTACAGAAAGAGGGCTACCCCTCGAGCACTGTAACAGATGTGGCGGACATGCTAATAGAATGAACAAAGACACACGGAGGCATTGTGATGCACAAGACTCAGCAAGGCTGTGGGTCATTGCATACTCGCACCCACTAAACCACAACTTCAAGATGTTGCTGATCTCTACGAAGTGCCCTCCCTTTTGTGCGTGTCTTCTTTGTTCTTGGTTTTTGTCATATTTCCTATCATATGACCTTACTATGTTCACTCGCATTGACCTATTTTAACATGTTTTCTAATAGGTCAGCGCTATAAAACATACCAAGACCGGATATCCAGATGTTGATAGACGCTCATCTAACAACCGGCCGGCGCCGGCTGGTGTGGTTCCTCTCGCCGCCAGCATGAGGAGCGCGTGAGCCTCGAGACAGCCCGCTACTGTTGCATCGTTGGCTTTTCCCTCCACTGTACTTGAATAATTTAATCTACCATCATACGGCTTTTGTTTGAGGGCTCTGCCACAAATTCCTAAACAAATATTACACCTAAAGAGGGGGAACACTGGACCATATGCTAATGCCATTCCTTCGCATATCCCTTCATGTGTTCCTTTCAAAAGCCGCTAACAAGTGGTTCATATAAAATATCACTCGCTCTAAATAAACTTGGACACTAGTGCCGCTAGGATTCTGGAATGCAACGTACCCGTTCTGACGAATACTCACTGGTAAAAAAGTGGTTTATGTGGTCCCGAGCGGGTGAAAGAATGCATTAGTCAGATCGGGTTGGCTGTTAAGAGAAACCCGAAACGTGCAATCCACAAGAAAGCACAAGATTCCTTGAATTTCGGAAGGAATTCCCTGACACATCAGCGGAATTTTCGGAACCCAACATGATATAAACCCAGAGACAATAATATAAAACATGACGGACAAGATTGTGTGTCCTATTGTTTTTTTATTATGTCTCCTTGTCTCACTCATTAGATTAGGATGTTTCCTGACTAGCACGCCTACATTTTTTCACTCCCAGCAAAAAACGACACAACAAAGACTCAAATGTAATGCTTAAAACTCAAATAAAAACAGCGCTAACAATAAAAAGAAAGCGTAAAAAACAATAAGACCAAGAGCCGACTTACAACTGCTTTTACTATAAAAAAACATAATACTGCGCATGCATTGCTAACATCATCCAATTGCTTCAGTTTGTAGAAGATATGCGATTTTTCTTTTTACACATGACGCAATAGACGGTACACTGGCGCACGTAATTTCCTCGTACTGTGCCACAAGAAAAATATTTCCGTTATCCCACGAGTCGTTTGGTTTGTGACACGCCTACCAATGGCCTCGCGAGCTAAAGGAAGCGACGTCACTACTTTTGGAGCGAATATTGGTCCACATCCGCATCTATTTCAAGGAATCGGTGTATGTCCCCTGTGTGATGACTTAATTGTCAGCGTTGGAATATATTCTTAATGCATCTGCCCGACTGATCAATGTATATTATGCCGCATGGCAAACAATTGTGAATACGATTCTCACTTTGAACTCTACTAACCAGTTTCCGTGTTTCTTTTCCTAATGCACCACGGACCTTCCACGCTGCGCAATATTTTCACTTTTTTTTTGTTGCAGAAAACATCACTGGTACGCTGTGTTCTTCAGCTGCCTTTTTCATCCGGTGACTGAATTTACGTATGTTTAGAACTATCACAGATCTGAAGAGTCAAAGGCATGGCGGAAGAACACCTAATACGCACAAGACTAGAATCATACATTTGATATTAATATTTTTTTACATAAAATCAGCCGCCAGATAAAAAAACGTAGGGGAGAAACAGTGTGCCAGTGGTGTACTCTGCGCCTAAACAAAATGAGAAAAAAATGTAAACATATAATCGGAGAGAAGGCGCACGTTGCGAAAAGAAACACAAAAACAGCTTTGTAGAATGCGCGGTGGGAATTGTATACAAATTCCCTATGTCATGCGGCAACGTATGCATTGGTCAGTCGGTCAGATGTGTGAAGGATAGATATCGGGAGCCCTTGTTCGTCGTTAAGTCATCGCTCATTGGACATCTTGCAATGCGTTGCAATAGATGTGGATGTGTACCAAAATTTGCTGAAACAGAGGTTATGAGGCGACACGCCAACCAAAGGACTCGTGAGGTAACGGAAGCATTCATTATGACGCAGGACGAGATGTTTATCAGTGCACCGTCGGTGGCGTTATATGAAAAAGAGATCCCATATCTTGTACAAGCCGAGGCAATCGAATGATGTTAGCAATGTAGTGTCATATTTAGGATTCCGGAGCATAACAGTTTTTTATGGCAAAATCAGTTGTAAGTAAGCGCTTGGTCTACCCAGTTTCTTTGACTCGTCCGTTCCTTTTCGCGCTATTTTTTTTCGAGATGCGTCCCCGACTATCCCAAGTATGCACTAATTACGTAAAATCTCGATGCGTCCTAAAACTGACCCAGCAAATGACACGCTGTAATGTAAAAAAAAAACTTTTAAGCAAATTTACGGTTGCCTATGTTCAATAAAAAATAGCAATGTAGGGCCCGACACAGTCTTACAGAATTTTCTTTTTTTCTTAATGCGAAAGCATTAACTGTCTCATAGAGCGAGCCGTCGTCGTCAGCTTTGAAACCATACAAAACTGCACCTTAATGAAACTCCGCAAAGCTAGCCAACGGCAACTTTTATACTTCGGTCCCATTGGCGGACGCGCGTCGACGACGCTCCCATTGGCCGCTGCGAGTCAGTTTGTGTGATGTCATGCTGACTGTCTCATCACACTGTTGAGTTCTCACTGATCGCCGTGTTCGCTCGCCTCTTATCGGTTAACCATAGTTTTGTTTAACCCGAGACTGGGGTATTTCGGAAAAGGGACGAGAAGAAAAGAGGCCACAAGGAGGCGACATCGGTTGTTCGGCGCGTAAAAATATATATGGCGCATGGAATAAGAAGAGGGGTTCGTTCTGCTGGGAACTACGCTCCTGTCTGGTCTTCCCTCGCGCCGCAAGGCACACTACAGTTCGAACGATTGCTCACCCGATGGCGCTGCGTGTCTGCGAGGCAGCGGTTCCACTGTTCTACGCCCAAAGTCAGCACGTTGTCCGCCGCAGATTAAAGACGGGAGCGAAGAGCGGCGTGCGTGCTTTCGCATTCACAACTCATAAGAAGGGCTTAGGTGGACCTCGAGCATTGTTAATCGCGTTTTGCATCATAGTGAACATGACTTAAGTAAACATAGTCCGCTGTAGATTTGACTTTTAATAAGCCATTGATGTTTTGACTCGCTGCATCGCTTGAAGCGTTCGACTTCTTGACACACATTGGATATCTTCACCCACATTTGATTTGATGACCCATATTGAAGATTTTAATCAGTTATATCTAGTGACTCGGATAACCTTTTAACACGACTGTCACGTGAGCTAGACCTTTTGCCACGAAGCGCCTAGTAAAATAACTCCTAAGCTCTGACGATTTTGATTTTTATGCGCGTATCTTTACACAGTGTCAGCCTCTGTACCTGCCTAAAGGCTGACAAACACTTCTTCGTCCTCTTTTTCAGCGACACCAAGAAAGGGGCGATGGAAATACTTGAGCGCACACGCTCGGCCATCCGCAAAGTGGTACCCTGCGATGTTCTGGAGCCCGGAGTGCTCCCCGTGGAACACAATGAAACCTTTGACGTAGTTCTTTCCTCCGGATGCCTGGATGTGGCTACAGCAGAGCACGAGTCATATCGAAGGGCGGTTTGCAATGTGGCAACCCTAGTCAAACCTGGCGGTCTGCTTGTCATGTTCGGAATAGGTGGTGTAAAAGTATTTCCTGTGGGAAACGCTAATTTTACTCTTGCGAACCTCACCGAAAATGTAGTGAAAGAAGCCGTGAGAGATGCTGGCCTCCAAATGGAACTATACCTACCCAAACAAATTGGGTGTTTAGCGGGAAGTTCAGACGCATTTATGTTTAGGCTGGTGGCACGTAAAGCCTGATTCAAGGAACTGCAGTTTATTTATGCAACGTACATTCCTTCACCCCTTTTCTGCTTTGTTGCTCTTAATATACACAACTGTGGAAATAAATATTTCTTATTCCCTTTCGTGACTGTGAAGCAAATCGAAGCCAAACAAAATTTGATTTTGTTGAAGGTCAAATTAGAGCGAAAAACTCTGGGAAATATCAGCCATTCAAGAACACAAAAACAATAACAGGCACACACTATCATGTTCCAGCAGTGGTCAGTATCGTGTATGTTTTGTGGAGCCTGGACTGGTGAACGCAATGTCTGATGAGTAATGGCCAGCATCAGGATTCACAAGGGCCTTAAAGGCCGGAGAATCCCAGTACTTGACAAATGTCTCGAATCACCAGATACCAATTGCATTCAGTGACCATGTTAATGTGACGAAAGCCGATAACAAGTGTTCACACGGTACTGAGATGCATTCAATGGCAATGTTGAAGTGACGAAGGCCATTAACTGGTATTCAAGTGCATTCACCAACCATGTTCCAGTGACGAGCGCCGACAACTGTTAATCACCATCTGTTCAGTTCCATTAAATGGCCATTTTCGGGAGACGAAAGCCGATAACTTTTATTTGCCATCTATTCACCACGTTTATAGGTGTTGTTCTGTCAACATTTTGCGATTGTTGTCATTTGCAGTCTATCAATCGGCAATGTTCTCGCATTAAGTGCCTATCATTCTACCGTAATCATTAAAGTTAGAATTGCCAGTCCTTAGATTTTGTTGTCTTTTTGCTGCTTCAGTACGCTGGCTTAGGCTCACGCTGGTTTTCAATAGTAGCCTCCACTATATAGCCGTCATTGGTAGCGTCCGGTGAGCACATCCTGTCCGAGGGGCAATATATTTATTAAATGAACAGTTGAGATACCTGTAGCCACATAAAATCAAACAATTTACTTTTCAATATTTTTAATATCCAAAAACACACGATTCAACAAGATGCTCCCCTATCTCGCCCCAACAAAGGAATGGCCAACATGTTCCGGCTTTCTGCTACCCTCAGCACTCACTAGTACTACTACTACTATGCTTCCTTTTTGCACTCACTGCTAGTTAAATTTTTGCTCGGCCATGGTTCAACAGCAAAGTGATACACTTCTTTTATAACATTCAGGAAATAAGCATTCCAGAATGCTAGTTGTAATCGGGTCAATTCACTCAGATGATGCAATCGTGTGCACATGCGCATTCTTGGACACGGCTGTCATAATGCGTGCAAGTAATAGCTTAAACTTGATCACACAAAGAACAGTACATAACCATGAAATACTCGAAGCGACGTAACACTCCCGGCAACCGTGTAGAAAACGTAAACTCAAAAGTGTAAACATTCCTGCTGTCTTGAATCTGCGGCACCAATATGACCGAACAACGCTGGTGCATATTCACCTGGCTGTGCGAGTTCGAAACTGTGACTGATGGTGTAATCAAGTACATCCGTAGCCAAATATGAGTCACAACACTAAACGGAGAGTCGATCCCCTCCTCCTTGTCGATTGTTACTATGTAGTGGAGCAATAAGCCGTCTTGGCCAAGCTGGTAGGAATCAATAGGTTCGTAAACTGGACCGGCAGTGTTCCCGGTATTCCTTGACATTTCCGCAATTTTCCCGAACACCCGCTGACAAAAGCCACCTGATTTCTGGGCCTCGACAAGCTCTTCCCTTTCTCACCACTTTACCCCAAACAACGATCCTCCGCTCCCTCGTGCGACCTCCTAACACTGCAACGAGCTCCTGTTGCATTTTCCCTTCCTAATGTCTCGCTTATGAGCGGCCGCGCGGGAAACGTCTCTCGCAATCTCCTGGTGGCGTCCCCTTCTCCCAAGCGCTATCATAGGGCGCCCGAGAAATTGCGTCTGCAACCTTGTTGGTGGAGCCCTTTCGGTATGCATTATATGAATATCGCTGGAGGGTGAGTTTGCACCGAGCTAACCTTCCCGCCGGCTCTTTCAACCTTTGAATCCAGGTTAGGAAGACGTGGTGTATCTGATGACAAATCTGGCCCCGTCTAAATACAAATCGAACTTCTTTAGAGCAAACAAGACGGCTAGCCCCCTTTCCCTTCACGCTGTAATTATGTTTTGGCTGTGTAAGTGTTCCGCTGGCGAATAACACTGGGCGCAGCTGTCCATCATGTTCTTGCAATACCACAGCATCGTCGCTGTAGTCGCTTGCGTCTGTCCGTACGACGAGGGGACGGTTAAGGTCTGGGGGGCACAGACTAGCTGGGACTAAGCTTTGTAAGGGAATAGAAAGCTACCACTACCACTTCTTCTCGGCCCCAGGCCGATCTCAAGCCTTCATGAAGCAGCAGGTTCGGTGGCCGTGTTAGTCGAGCGCACCCTAGGATAAACTGACCATAAAAGTGAAAGCCGTTTACAACTCCCTGTAACGCCGAATTTGAGCGCAGCTCTTGAGGAGGAGCATGGAAGGGTACTGAGGGGAGGGTAGACCCCTCCTTCTCCTCCTCCTCCCCCTCATTCTTGAATATGCTCCGGGGAATCACCCGACCTCAGGGCGGGGGGTCACGTGACCTCGGGGGAGGGAGGGGGTGTCACGTGACCACGGGGGGGGGGGGGGAGGTGACTTCGAGAGCCACGTGATTTTTGGTGTCACGTGATCTTGGGGATCACGTGACGTGACTTTGGGGTGACATTGGGGGGGTCACGTGACCTCGCGGTTACGCCGACGGCGACGGCGACGCCGACGGCGACGCTTACGCCGCTCAAGCCGGAAACGGGCGCCAAAGAGCTGCGCTCTAAAACCAACCATTCCAAGGAACCCTTGAAGGCTCTTCGCATTGCGTGACGGTAGATAATTAGGAATTGCTCTAAACTTATTCTCGTTCGGCCTCGAGGTACCCTCATCTACGATAAATCCTAGGGGGTTGACTTTTGAGGCAGCGAGGTGTAGCGTGTTTGGAGTAATCGCTAACCCACCTTGCTCATCCTGCTTAAGATTTACTGAAGATGTGTCAGGTGCACCTCAAATGACTTTGAAAATACATTCACATCATTCATAATTGTCTTGGGAAAGTTAAACTTCGCATCTTCCAGCATGTTGTCGGTCAAGAGTTGTAAACTTCACTGCGAGTTTGACAATCAGATCGGAAGTGGATAAACTCCAACAAACCTGTATGACAGGTGAATTCCGCCTTCTGGACATCATCTAGTGTTACTTGGATTAGCAAAACGCCTCGGCTACGATCCGAGGTAGTAAAAATCCTTGCACTACCCAACGTGCCTAATGGACTTAATAGAGAAGAAGGAATGCGAATCCCTTCGTGTCATCACATTATGTCGGCGGTAGTCTACGCGGAGGCGAGCCGGTGCCGTCTTCTTTTCTTGGCGCGCAGACTAGAGGGCAATTTAAGGGGGTTTGTGAAGGCTGCACGTTCCCCGTGTCTATCACCTCATCGAGAGCCTTCTCTAGGAGAACTGGTCCGTGCGCACTCAGCGGTCTGGGATTACGATTCCGTAGCCTAGCATCTCCTGTGTCAACTCTATGTTGTCAAATGTTTGTAAATCCCGGCCTCTTGGCAAACCTACCTGCGTGCTCATACAGCGCATGTGCTAGACTCCGCCGTTCTTCTACCGGCCCGTTGTAAGAAGCAGACTCGTGCTCCTTACTTGAAAAATGTAATGGACTACCTTTACAAATTACGCTCGCTGGAAACTAACGGATTAATTTACTCGTTACGTTACCAATTACTTTTCCGTTACTTTTAGAGCGCAGCTCTTAGGCACCCGTTTCCGGCTTTAGCGGCGTCGCCGTCGCCGTCGGCGTAACCGCGCGGTGCATTATAGGTAAATTTCCCCGCTAAATCTAGCGGAAAACTATCCCCGCCAAATCTAGCGGAAAAATTGCCCCGCTAAATCTAGCGGAAAAATTTCCCCGCTAAATCTAGCAGAAAAATTTCCTCGCTAAATCTAGAAGAAAAAATTTCTCCGCTAAATCTAGCGGAAACATTTCCCCGCTAAGTCTAGCGGAAGAATTCCTCGCTAAATTTAGCGGAAAAATTTCCCCGCTAGGTCTAGCGGAAACATTTCCCCGCTAAATCTAGCGCAAAAATTTCCCCGCTAAGTCTAGCGGAAACATTTCCCCGCTAAATCTAGCGCAAACATTTCCCCGCTGAGTCTAGCGGAAACATCTCCCCGCTAAATCTAGCGCAAAAATTTCCCCGCTAAATCTAGCGGAAAAGTTTCCCCGCTAATTCTAGCGGAAAAATTTCCCCGCTAAATCTAACGGAAACATTTCCCCGCTAAATCTATCTGAAAAATTTCCCCGCAAAATCTAGCGGAAAAATTTCACCGCTAATTCTAGCGGAAAAATTTCCCCGCTAAATCTAAAGGAAACATTTCCCCGCTAAATCTAGCGGAAAATTTTTCCCGCTAAATCTAGCGAAAAAATATCCCCGCTAAATCTAGTGCAAAAATTTCCCGCTAAATCTAGCAGAAACATTTCCCCGCTAAATCTAGCGGGAAAATTTCCCCGCTAAATTTAGCGGAAAATATTGCCCGCAAAATCGAACGGAAAATTTCCCCCCTAGAGTTAGTGGAAACATTTCCTCGCTAAATCTTGGGGAAAAATTTCTCTGGGGGGGTCACGTGACGCCCCCAGGTCCCGTGACCCCCACGTGATTTCGGGGAGGGGGTGACGTGACCTCGGGGTGACGTGACGCCACGCTCGACACAGCTGTTGCAATGATGGGCTCGGGGTTTGTGGGGACGGCAGCGAAATTCAAGGCGGCGGTAGCACACTGTGTAAGGGACATGGGTTCCAATGAAGGTTATGATGGCTGAACCTGTTGTGCCTACTCGCCTTGCGTGAAGGATGTCACCTTGATAAGACTCCAGATCATTGATGATCTCGTCGGGGGTGGCCTCCGAGGCGATTTCACGTATAACACCTCGGCAGGAGTTGTTTGGAGCGGCTAGGTAGGAGTGGACGGGAGGGGAAGTG